TAGGATGGTATGTCTGGGAGAAACTACAGGCCAGGGACTTGGAGGCTGTCAGCTGAGGACAAGGAAGCTCATGGGGACACTGCAAATACAGGGAAGATGCATCAGTGACGCTGGTGCTGGGGAGAGGTACCTTCTGGTAAAGGTTCTCTATGCCAAACCTAATGGCCTGCATTAGATGCCCTAAATTCCACAGAGGAGAGAACCGATTGTCCTCTGACCTCCACAAGCATGCTATAGCATGTATACATGCACCCACATACACAGCACACACACAGTGAAAAGTAAAATAAATTTAAAAGTGTCAAGAGTTAACAGGGGTTGGGGGAGGGGAGCACAGCAGCGAGGGGGTGGGAAAGCAGTGGTGGTCAGTGGGGGAGACAGTAAATGACAAAGGAGAGGAGTGGCTGAGTGTCACCCTCTTGTGCTTCTGACTACAGGACAGGACAGGACAGGAGGGAGTGGTACTTACTGGGGCAAAGACAAAGCCAGGCTGAAGGTCCAAAGGGGACTTTTCTTTTTCCTGCAACCAAGGAAATAAAGCTGACCCTGTGGAATCTATCTTCATAATCCAACCTCGGCACGCAGAGAACTGAGAACTCCCCAGAATAATTCTAATACCGACAAACCATGTTCACCCAGTTAAGCTGGCTACAGAAAGGCAGGGACTTGGTGCTTGGTACTGTAGTCTCCTACCAGCAACCGCCACTAAAAAAAAAAAAAAAACCCTCATTCTCACTCAATTAAATTTAGGACTCTATATTGGTTCACATGGTTTCACTGAGACAAGTCCTTGGGTCAGCAACACCGTCAATCAGGAGTCAGCAAAGTAAGTTTTTGAAAGGAGTGAGCAGCACCCATCTCTGAGGTGCTTAACTGCAGTCTGCAGGGTGAGCTCTGTCAAGACATGAATATGCATAGCTCCCAGGGCAACAGGTACTGTGCTGGGGGTTTGACCTAGAAACTCTCATTTGCCAACCACTTTGCTGTATCATGAGTCACCATTACAGATGTGGGACAGCCACCAGCTCCAAGGCAGTAACAGTAACCTTACGACAGAAAGGGGAAGGACTGAGGACAAGGAACCTCACCTGAAGGACCAGGTTCCTGGCATCCATGAGAAGATGGTGCCCAGCTTTTGTTCCGTTCTCCACCAACACCTGTTTACAAACAGAGGAAATAAGCAGGCGCTCTGAATCCCAAAGCAAATGCCAGTAGCGCTGTCAGGACACTGGCAGGGAAGTGGGCATTGTGTGAAAGGTGGATACCCTGAGGAAGTGCAAAGAGCTATAAAAGAGAAAAAACACTATGTGATAACCAGAGGACAAGGCACAGAACCACAAAGCTGCTTTAAAACTTGAGGGGGAAAGGATTTCAACTCACCAGAAAATGGCTTGTCTTACGCCACAAGTTCCGAACTACCTCAACTCGGTCAGCCTTGCTGGGTAGTTCACTGAGGGCGAAGGCTGACACGACCACATCAAACTGGACCTGAGGACCAAGATAAGGGACAAACAGATCTGACATCGCCCTATCCAAAAGCACAACAAATTCCTAGCCTCTAAATCCTCCTGACCCCAAGATATCTCATTATGTATTCCAGGTTGAACCTGAACCAATGGTAATCCTCCTGCCTCAGCTCCTGAGTCCTGAGATTATGGGTGTCTTAAATGTCTTCTATTGCTTCTTTTGTCTTCTAACACACAATGGTGGGTTTCAAGGCTGAAACCACAGCTGTCCACCTGCCACACTAGATCTGAGAATAACTTACTTGCTACTTGCCTTGGGTGACACAGGTAGAAACTGTCTGAAAAAGACACCTGGGATACAGGGCTTCCCTGATTCTGAACCACCTACGGAAGAAAGATGTGGCAGCAAAGACAGAACATAAACTTTATAGCCAAAGTTTACACTCAGTGAAGAGACATTCCTCAGATAACCCCAGCTGAGAGGTGCAGGACTGTAATTAAAAACGTGGCCTACTAATCCCATCCAACCAACCAGAGTCCCATAAAGGCCTCTAATATTGTCTCACTGTAATACTGGAAGGAGCCCAGATTATCTCAATTAATTAATTAATTAATTTTGGCTTTTTGAGACAGGGTTTCTCTGTGTAGCTTTGGAGCCTATCCTGGCACTCGATCTGGAGACCAGGCTGGCCTCGAACTCACAGAGATCTGCCTGCCTCTGCCTCCCGAGTGCTGAGATTAAAGGCATGAGCCACCAACGCCTGGCCGATTATCTTAATTTATAACTCTCTCCTCTACATCCCAATAAAATTCTTTCCTAACTCCCTCAACTTTTGGAAATCCCTGGATTAGAGCTTGGTCTCACCTTTTAGTAGCTTTTCAGCCAAACCCAACATGGCTGCTGAACTGTCCACACACACATATTCACGGAGGCTCTGGCCCCAAGTACTGTGAGCAGCCCTGAGATGGCAAGATGAAAACCACCAATTTTTATGACACACAGTCATTCCTTTTTTTTTTTAATGATTTATTTATTTATTATGTATACAGTTTTGGCATGCTAGAAGAGGGTACCAAATCTTACTATAGATGGTTGTGAGCCACCATGTGGTTGCTGAGAATTGAACTCAGGACCAGTGGAAGAGCAGCCAGTGCTCTTAACCTCTGAGTCAGTCATCTCTCCAGTCCCGACACGGTCA